ATTAAAAAACATAGAGGAGAAGCTTCATAACGTTGTCTTTGGCAATGATTTCTGGATTATGACACTCAAAGCACAGACAAAAAAAGAAAAAATAGACAAACTACATCAAACTTTTGTATCTCAAAGTACACAATCAAGACAGTGAAAAGATAATGCACAGAATGTGAAAAAATACTTGCTAATCATGTATCTGATGAGAGATTAATAATCAGAATACATAAAGAACTTCTACAACTTAACAAAAAAACAACCACCAAGTCAAAAACTGAGTAAAGGACTAAATACAGGCATACCACACTTCCAGACCATCACAATAAAGCAAATATTGCAATAAAGCGAGTTATATTAAGTTTTTGGTTTCCCACTGCATATAAAAGTTATTTTTACACTATGCTGTATTATACTATGTAATAACATTATGTCTAAGAAAACAATGTACATACCTTAATTAGAAATATTTTATTGCTAAAAATGCTAATCTGATCCTTTAGCAAGTCATAATCTTTTTGCAACAGTAACATCAAAGATCACTGATCACAGATTACCATAATAAACATAATAATGAAAAAGTTTGTAATGTTATGAGAATTACTAAAATGTAACACAGAAACATGAAGTGAGAAAATGCTGTTGAAAAAACGGCATTGATAGACTTGCTCAATGCAGGGTACCCACAGACCTTCAACGTGTAGAAACTGTAGTATCTGTGAAGTGCAATAAAGTGATGTATGCCTGTAGACATTTCACCAAAGAAGGTATACAAGTGGCCAAGAAGGGTGAAAAGATGCTCAACATCACTCATCATTAGGGAAATACAAATTGGAATCACAATGAAAAAAAAATCACACTTTATAGCCATTAGGATGGTTATTATCAAAAAAACAAAAAATAAAGTTTTGGTGAGGATGGGGACCAACCCTGCTGCATTGCTGGAGGGAATGTAAAATGGCACAGCTGTGAAAACGGTTGGTGGTCCTTAAAAATTTAAATATAGAATATCCATACGATCTAGCAATTCTACTTCTAGGCATAGTATATACAGCGAAGAACTGAAAGCAGAGATTCAAAGAGGTAACTGTATACTAATGTTCACAGCAGCTTTATTCATAATAGCCTAAAAGTAGAAACAACTCAATTGTTCATCAACAGATGAAAGGATAAACAAAAATGTGGTATTATACACATATGGAATATTATTCAGCCTTGAAAAGGACTGAAATTATTAGAAACGTTATGCTAAGTAAAATAAGTCAGATGCAAAAGGACAAATATTCCATTTATATGAGGTACCCAGAATAGGGAAATTCATGGAGATAGAAAGCAGACTAGAGGTTACCTGGGGGTGGGGGAATAGGGGCATGGGAATTATTATTTAATGGGTATGGAGTCTCAATTTGGGATGTTACATAAGTTCCAGAGATGGATAGTGGTGATGGTTGTATGATGTTGTGAATGTACTTAGTGCCACTGAACTGTACACTTAAAAATGGCTGAGGGTGCATTTTATCATAACTTAAAAAAATATACAACCATTCTGGAAGGGTATTTGGCAAACTGTGAAAGATTTACATCCTTTTACATCAGTAATCCCACTTCTAGGAATCTATCCAGAGGATATACCTCCAAGAATATGAAAATACATATGCATAACATTATTCATTGTAACAGTATGCTTGTAATTGCAAAATACTGTAAATAACCCATATGCCCATAAACTGAAAGGCTGAATAAAATATGTACATACAATGTACTACAGGGTTGGCCAAAAGGTTCATTTTTTTCTGTATTGTTAGATTGTGACAGCTGTCATATCAGTGTGCATTTTAAAAAAGACTTAACAAAATTGGTGAATTTTTGTGTAGCCATTTTAATATTGAAGATGAAAGAAAAAAAGCAACATTTTCGGCATATTATGCTTTATTATTTCAAGAAATGTAAAAACGCAACTGAAACGCAAAAAAAGATTTGTGCCAGTGTATGGAGAAGGTGCTGTGACTGATCGAACATGTCAAAAGCGGTTTGTGAAGTTTTGTGCTGGAGATTTCTCACTGGACGATGCTCCACAGTCGGTAGACCAGTTGTAGTGATCAAATTGAGAGATTAACTGAGAACAATCAACGTTATACAACGCGGGAGATAGCCAACATATTCAAAATATCTAAATCAAGCACTGAATATCATTTGCACCAGCCTGGTTATGTTAATTTCTTTGACATTTGGGTTCTACATAAGCTAAGCGAAAAAACCCTTCTTGACTGTATTTCCACATGTGATTCTGTACTTGAATGTAATGAAAACGTTCCGTTTTTAAAACAAATTGTGATGGGTGATGAAAAGTGGATACTGCACAATAATGTAGAACAGAAGAGATCGTGGGGCAAGAGAAATGAACCACTACCAACCACAGCAAAGGCTGGTCTTCATCCAAAGAGGGTGATGTTGAGTATATGGTAGGATTGGAAGGGAGTCCTCTATTATGAACTTCTTCCAGAAAACCAAGCCATTAATTCCAACAAGTACTGCTCCCAATTAGAGCAAATGAAAGCAGCACTCGACGAAAAGCATCCAGAATTAGTCAACAGAAAATGCATAATCTTCCATCAGGATAACGCAAGGCCGCGTGTTTCTTTGAAGACCAGGCAAAAACTGTTACAGCCTGGCTAGGAAGTTCTGATTCATCCACCGCATTCATCAGACATTGCACCTTCGGATTTCCATTTATTTAGGTCTTTACAAAATTCTCTTAATAGAAAAACTTTCAATTCCCTGGAAGACTGTAAAAGGCAGCAGGTACAGTTCTTTGCTCAAAAAGATAAAAATTTTGGGAAGATGGAATTATGAAGTTGCCTGAAAAATGGCAGAAGGTAGTGGAACAAAAGGATGAATATGTTGTTCAATAAAGTTCTTGGTGAAAATGAAAAATATGTCTTTTATTTTTACTTAAAAACCAAAGGCACTTTTTTGGCCAACCCAATAACTATGGAGTTGTAAATAATAAAGATGATCTCTATGAACTGATATGGAGTGATTTCCAGGATATACTGTTAAGTGAAAGAAGCAAAGTGCAAAGAGTATAATATGCTTGTCATGTAAGAAAAAAGAAGCTATGAGAAAATACACATGTATCAGCTCTTTTGTGTAAAAAGAAATGCATGATGGACACACCAGGGACTAATGTGATTAGTTACCAGCAGAGAGTTGGTAGGAATGGAGTGCAAAGAATTGGGGGTGGGACTGGCACAGGAGAGGTGAGAAAGGAACAATATTTGACTGTATCTTTTTGTAGAGCTCTCTTTGAATAATGGCAATATTCCAGGTACTCTGAAAACAAAAACAACTTAAAGTAACCATGATGAGGGTGGGGGGGACACAGAACAAAATATAAACAGTCACAACAGTCACAAATGAACCTAAGTGTACTACAGATGAACCACACGCAAAGGAGAGAGGAAGACAACTAACCTAAGTAAATGGAACACCATATTTTGACAGCATGGCTCAAGATAAAAAGAACTGCACACAAATAGTGTACTCTGTTAGGAAATTTCTAACAGGGATATGGGTTAGCAATCCTAAAATTACTTTATGTGTATCCTAGGATTGAACAAATAAATATACCATGGATAATTAGAGCCAGATTTCTCACTAGAAGAGAAGGAAAGGGCTTTTTGGAAACATGGTTGGTTCTAAGGCTTGGGCAAGGAAAACACAAGTTGAGCCTGGTTCAGCCTGCGGAACAGAAAGTAAGGAAGTGATTAAAAAAAATAATGGGCTTATTATCCAAAGCGTACAGGAGGCAACCTGAAGGAGCTCCCAATGGCCAAAGCCGGGACTTTGAGCAATAAAGTAACTTTTATTATAGAGTAACATATATATATTATATATAAAATAATAGAGTAAAATGAGCTCATACCGACACAAATAACTGAATAAATCAATGAAGGAAAAAGAACAGCTCTTCTTCACAGAATTATAATTAAGTGTAGAAGGAATGATGGAAACAGAAAACCACGATTAGGTAAATACTACAGCAATAACTATTACAGGTAGAAATCATTAACAGATGCTAAAACTAGTGAGCAAAAGGATATTTGCATACTCTCAAAGAAACTTATTAATTAGAAAGGAAAAATTATTATTTATAGCGGAGAAATGTGGCAGACAGTACCTTAAGGAAGTGATCCAAGTTAGTGTAAGGCAAACCACATTACGTACCCTACCTCATTGGTATGATGTACTGAGAAAGGTGGAATGTGATTTCTATGGTATTCTTGACAGAAATGCATAACCTCAATTGAATCCATGAGAGAACATCAGACAAACCTAAATCAATGGGCATTCTAAGTAGCTGGCCAGTGCTCTTCAAATGCATCCAGGTCATTAAAGACTGAGGAAGTGTCACAAATGGAAGAGACTAAAGGAGACATGACAATTAAAGGCAATGTGGGATCTTGAATCAGAAAAGGACATTAATGGGAAAACTACTGATTTCTCAGTAAGATCTCTATATTGGTTAATAATATTCCATCAGTGTTAATATTCAGTTTTCCAACGGTTTTGTAAGATGTTAACATTAAGGGAATCTGAGTGAAGGGCACAGGAGAACTCTACTATTTTTACAACTTTCTATAAGCTTAAAATTACTTTAAAAGTTTTAAAAAAAACAGTCGATCTAAATCTTTGGGGAACATGGTTTGGTGGATTCACATTATTCACCAAGCTGAATTCATACTACTGATAATTATTTTCAATTTTGAAAATCTTGAGAAGTCTCCACTTTTTGCACTATCATGTTTATATCTTTATAATAGGCTGTGTTTCAACTTATGCATTACCATGTCTTTTTTCACGCCTGACAGTTCCTTAAGAGTACATACTAAGACCTAGTTACTTCTACATTCTGTGACTAGCAGTCTTTGTCTAAAGGAAATGCTCCGTAATTGTATTCTGAATAAATGATTAAGTAAAAGATCTCAATGCTATAGGAATTATTTACTTACGCTCCACAAAGGAAGTAAAGAGCATTCGGAACCTGCTAAGCCGACTACCTTCATCAGCCCACATCCGTATCACCCCAACTCCTGTTTTAAGCATTACATCGTTGGCCACAGTGCTGCAAAACTTGGCCTTCAGATTTTCAATAGAACTGCTCCCATCGTAGACTGCAACGAAATTTCTCTTGCATTCATTTGAGTGCTCCATCTGATAATCTAGGAACCTCAAATAAATCTGTAACATGAAAACAAAGAAAAACAGAGCTTTTAAAAAGATACATTAAATGTTCTAGTTCTATTATCCAATCAATATGTAAGTTAAAACTGCATTGAGTTTTAACACCTGACAGAAAAACAATAGCTAAAAGGATGATGCCTAAGTAGGTAAAAGAACTAAGACTAATGGTCTGCTTCTTTGGTTGTCTTAATAATGAAACCAAGCATTAAGGAACCTAGTTTGTGTTGTGTCTGTAAAGAGAAATTTTTTGCTCCATGACTATCTTACATGTTTTCCTTGTTATAAAAGCAAACTCGTGGTACTGAGAAACTGGGAAAATAAAAGAAACATAATTCTAGTACTCTAACAATTATTGTGATAAACTTTTTTTTCTTCACATCTAAAAAAAAATTTATTTTTGGCTGTGTTGGGTCTTCGTTGCTGCGCGCGCTTTCTCTAGTTGTGGCGAGCAGGGGCTACTCTCGTTGCAGGGCCCGTGCTTCTCATTGTGGTGGCTTCTCTTGTTGCGGAGCATGGGCTCTAGGTGTGCGGGCTTCAGCAGTTGTGGTGCACGGGCTTAGTTGCTCCGCGGCATGTGGGATCTTCCCGCACCAGGGATCGAACCCATGTCCCCTGCATTGGCAGGTGGATTCTTAACCACTGCACCACCAGGGAAGTCGCTCTTCACATTTTCAAAACCTAAGTTTAATTGTAAGATACACACATCCTGCTTTTGCTGTAACACATCAAAACTTACCTATACTCTTCATAACTGTAATCATTCCCATGTCTTGTCATTTATTTACCCACTATCTCACTGTTGCACATTTAAGTGGTTTTAAGATTTTACTCCATAAATTAACAATTTCTATATTTTCAGTCAGAAAGATTTAAACTGGAGTTTCAAAATACGCACTATTATAGTTTTCTATTTTGCTTAGTATCCCCCTTCCTCAAATTTTATAGGCAGCTTGCCACCTGGCACTAAGTTATTCTTAAAATGTGCCTGACCCATTCTTATTTGAAGAGTTCCATTAGATTGTAGGCTTAGAAAGACCTTGAGCATAATCTCCAAAAGAACAGAATGAAATAGGTATTATTCTTTATGGGCTGGAAGGAAATTAAGGCTCACAGGGATTAAGGAACTTGCCCAAGGTTACTTAGGGCGAGGATTTGAACCTAGGTTGCTCTGACTCTTAAACTGTACGTTCTTCCCATTCCCTGGGATGCCTTCTATGTGTGCAGGCACACACACACGCATACTCTCTCATACACAGTTCACCTTTTGGCTCTACTTGTTCATAGGTAACTCTACAATTAAAATAATATTTTAGTGAATGAAGAATGAAGACTTCTTTGATTGCCTTTGGAGACATCTAGTGGGTATTCACCTGCTGGTTGCTATCCTGGAGGTAGTAGTATGATGCCACACCCATTCTTTATTTTAAAGGGCTTCATAAAACAAAAATGTCAGATATTTTTCCCCCTAAAATACCTTGAGGACATAAAACTAAGAACAAAAACTCAAAAATACAGCTCAGAGTTAAATTTTGACTAGTAACTTTGGCTTATTTGAAATGACCAATTAGCCACTTTCAAGAGACTGGTGGAAAATCACCAGTAATGGATTTCCATTTCAAAATTTCATAAAACCTCCAAAAATATATTTTAACACAGAAGCAATGTGTTTGCTTAAAATATATCATTTGTTTTCATTACTTTCTTCATCATTCATATAACCAAAACATACTGCCCATGGTTCTCTGGCAGTATCACTACTACTGTAATTATTTGTCTTCTCCATTAGATTGTACGGTCTTCTAATGAGCGTATCACATGCTAATTCTATCCAGTACAATTCTTGCTGACAGCAATTAATGAAAAAGTGACTAGGTTTATAAAACCTAGTTTGGTAGAGCTAAATACCAGGAAAATAATTAGGAAGTCTGAAGTATTTACTTTTTTTTTTTTTTTTAACTGAAGAAACATGGTACTTGTGTAAGGCCATAGTAAATGCTCTTTAAATATATAACTTTTAAAAGTCAAGGTTTTAAGGCAAGTCATATGACAAGAATGACATTCTTTTCTATTGTGAATACAGTTAAATACTGCTTAATAGTTTAATTCAACTGATCTTCAGAAAATATTTCTAACAATATGAGGCTGACCAATTGCAATGGGTGAAGGGGTACACAAACTACTCTTCTCTCACCTGAATTACAGGAGGCGAGATCTTTTAGTAAACATAAACACTCTTGGCCTCTTACCCACTCCTATACCCTCCCCAGGGAAGTGGAGAGAGTCACTTGGATGGGGGGGAATTTGGTCCCTTTTTCCTCCCCTCTTTCCCTGGACCAGCGAGTACGAGAAACAGTGACCTGGGTAAGTGGGTCTCTTCTGCAGATGCACTTTCCCTGGATGGGACGGTCCAGTCTAGACTGAGGTAGGAGGTGCACCTAGTGGGTAGGGAATAAGCAAGTCTAGTTTGATTCTCTCACTAAGTTGCTTCCCCTAGCCTTTAGTGGAATAAAGGGGCTAGTCTGAATCTTCATGTTCTCAATTGGTTCGTAACTCCAGTGGGGAAAAAAACGCTTTTTACTAGAGCCCCCAAAAGAAATGCAATGAAATCCTCAGAAAGCTGTTATTTTTATGGAAAGGCCACTGATAAAAACAGACTAAAACACTACTTACATACTCAACACCAATGACTTCTTTTGTATATTTAAGTGAATATTTCTTCAACATCACCCATTAAGTACTTTACCCCATTTTGAGTACTCAAGGGTTATGGTGGTCTTTCATATTTTTTCTTTTAAAGTACTCAAATAAAATCATCTGCTTACTTTCTTATTTAACACAATTTAAAAAATCTGACCCACTTTTTACAAAATAAATTTATTTATTTTTGGCTGCATTGGGTCTTCGTTGCAGCACGTGGGCATCCTCTAGTTGCAGTGAGCAGGGGCTACTCTTCGTTGCGGTGCGAGGGCTTCTCACTGCAGTGGCTTCTCTTGTTGCAGAGCACAGGCTCTAGGTGTGTGGGCTTCAGTAGTTGTGGCACACAGGCTCAGCAGTTGTGGCTCACGGGCCCTAGAACATGCGGGCTCAGTAATTGTGGCTTGTGGGCTCTAGAGCGCAGGCTCAGTAGTTGTGGCACACGGGCTTAGTTGCTCTGTGGCATGTGGGATCTTCCCAGACCAGGGCTCGACCCGTGTCCCCTGCACTGGCAGGCAGATTCTTAACCACTGCACCACCAGGGAAGTCCCTTGATCCACTTTCCATGTCAACTGTGAACAGTACTTTTTATGTTAACTTTAAAAAATCGACTTACTTTTATTAATAAAAAGTAACATTCTCCACTATTCAACATTCTAGGTCACACTCCTAAAAAACTTACGCATATAGAATCATTTCTTCATGAAGTATTTCAAGAAAGAGCAAGATCTAAAGTATTAATTTCACTTAAGCATTTAAATACTTAACTATTAAATATGGTCAAAACCCCCCCCCCTCTGTACATTCATCCCTCAGTATCCATGGGGAACTGGTCCTAGAAAGGACCTGATCTGGATACCAAAATCTGCAGATGCTCAAGTCCCATAGTCAGCCCTCTGTATTTGTGCTTCTGCATCTATAGATCCAACCAACTGCAGATTGTGTAGTCCTATAATATTTATTGAAAAAAATCAGTATATAAGTGAACCTGTGCAGTTCAATTCTGTGTACAACTGACCCTTGAACAACGTGGGTTTGAACTGTGCAGGTCCACTTATATGGATTTTATTCAATAAATATATACTACAGTACTACACAGTCTGTAGTTGGTTGAATTTGAGGATGCGGAACCTCAGATACAGAGGGCTGACTATAAAGTTATACTCAGAATTTCAACTGCAAGCAGGTCGGTAGCCCTATCCCCTGTGTTGTTCAAGTGTCAACTGTACAGCTAAAGCCTTCTATGTTCCCATTATCTTTCCTACACATCCCATCCTAAGTATAATTTTTATAATTCCTATGTACAGTTTTAGATTTTTAAATTTATGTATCTATAAAAATATATAGTATTTTTTGTATATTTTATTTACTTTTTTGTATATTTTAAAATCTTGGATCAACTGTAGAAATGAGTCACTATCCATTTTCCTTTTGGACATTTAGCTTGCTTCCACTTTTTAAAATATTAAACACTGCTGTAAACATTCTTGTATTCTCGTTATGCTCTCATATGATGAGTATCTGGGTGTTTATCTAGAAGCAGGGTTGCTGTATTGTAGGACGTAACAATTTTCAGCTTTACCTGAGCATACCAAATGACTTTCCAAGGTGGCTGTAGCAATTTATTCTTTCAAAGTAAGTTAAGAGAATTTCAGTTCCTCAATCCTTGCTGACACTTGGTCACAAGACATTCAGTCAAGTCTCAAGTAATATATAATAAAATCCTCTGACAAATGCAGAGTCAAGCGACAGCCACCATAATCAAGAAGTTCCATCACCCCCCAAATTCCCTCCTGCTGCTCCTCAGCAGTCAAAATCCATCTTCAATCTTGTTTCCTGGCAACCAATGACCTTTTGCTGTCGTTCCACCTTTCCCATATAAATAAAAAAAAATTTTTTTGGCTGTGCTGGGTCTTCATTGCTGCACATGGGCTTTTCTCTAGTTGCGGCGAGCAGGGGCTACTCTTCGTTGCGATGCGTGGGCTTCTCATCGCGATGGCTTCTCTTGTTGTGGGCCACAGAGTGCACAGGCTTCAGTAGTTGTGGCGTGTGGGCTCAGTAGTGGCTCATGGGCTCTAGAGCACAGGCTCAGTAGTTGTGGCACACAGGCTTAGTTGCCCTGCGGCATGTGGGATCTTCCCGGACCAGGGATCAAACCCATGTCCCCTGCATTGGCAGACAGATTCTTAACCACTGGACCACCAGGGAAGTCCTAAGTAAAAATTTTATACAAATAAAATCACAGTATTCTGAGTCTGGATTCTTTGATTAGCACAATGCATTTGAGATTCTTCTATGCTACT